AGCGGTTGCCAAGATATACACATGTAACCATAAGTGGGCGTGGCTACGCCCATTTGCCAAAATTTTATAATATTCTTATTTTTCGTCTAAAACTCATTGTAAATATCAATTTTGAGTGAATTATCTTCAGTAGTTACTAAAATATCGCAGTTTTCGTATTTCTGAAAATTACCGTTATATGGGAGGTAGGCGTGGTTATTGTCCGATTTCGCCCATTTTCAATACCATCCGTCCTACGCCCAAAAGAAGTTCACGTACCAAGTTTCGTTAAGATATCTCAATTTTTACTCGAGTTATCGTGTGCACAGACGGACGCACGGACGGACGGACGGACGGACGGACGGACGGACAGACAGTCACCGCTTAATCGATTTCTCTTTTCATTCTGATCATTTATGTATACATTTGTCTATATCTATCTCGATTCGTTTTGCCTGTTACAAACAACCGTTATGTGAACAAAGTTATAATACCCTTGTGCACAAGTGCGCTCGGGTATAAAAAAATAAGAAAACTAAGACCGGTGTAATACGCGATATTCAAACGGTTCCGCACATATTCATACCGCCAGCTATCAGTTTTATATTAAACCAGCTTTCATCGAGTTTACCTGATCGGAATTGGAGGTAAGTAAGCGTGTTAATAATATAACTAGCTTACCACTGCTTTGGAGCGCCAAAAGTCCCGAAGTCAAGCGTTTATTGGGTCCAAACGCTGGTCAGAACTAGATTGGGTTGCCAAAAATAAGTTGGACTCCCGAGCTAGGCCGGCCAGCTACCATAAAAATAAGCGGCCAAGCATATACATGCATATGCGTACTGCAAACGGAGATGTACATACGTACGTGCCCATGTGCATGTGTATGTACATACATACATATATGCATATAAGCAAATATATGCGAACGCAGCACCGCAAGACAAACTTGTTTCTAAATTATACTTGGTATTTCAGGTCGCCAGCAGAGGAAGTGCGAAAGGACCTCCATTAAGCACCTCTTAGAGTCACATCAACACTTGGAAACACCTCCAAACATCGCCTAGCACCGTGGGATATAACGACAACAGTGGAGCATACGCACATGTAAGCAACAAGAAATCCACCCGCACGCATCACAACCATCGAAAACGTTAAATTTAATATATATATATATCTACGCTGCGGCTATTTTCTGGAGGAGATTGCACTGCAACTGGGGCCCAGCAACATGAGGATAGCGTAACAGCTGATCTGGATACACAGGCCGGAGTGGGTCAACGGCCGCCGTAGTACGACAGAGGGAACCAAACGGCAATAGCTGAGCACCAAATCAGGGAACGAGGGATTCAGCGACTACGTGGGAGCCAAAGCTAAGCAGCAAAGCAGCAGGGACCCTCATACATTAACATAGATAGCATAATCTGCTCAAACGGTTGCACTCAATTATTAGGTTGAGTACTTTGTTAGTTGAGATCGGATGTCAAATAGAGATTAGAGTTAACATTTCTTTCTTAGAGAATTTTTTTTTGTAGAAGAATATTATCTTTTTAAGTACATACATAATTAGTTATTTTCTTTTCATAGTAGTTTTAACGCTGAAGTTTTGCTTACCTAGTTTTGTATTTTGCTATTCCCTCTCTTGTTAGTTTATATGCCACTAGACTAGTTTCCTGTTCACTTGAGATATTTATTCTTCTGTTAGCTTACATTCTCTTATCAGGGATTTTTCTTTAGCATTAGGTTTAGGGATTTTTCTTTTGCATTAGGTTTAGGGATTTTTCTTGTGCATTAGGTTTAGCAATAATACAGATCTCACTCACTTCGGCACACCTAGAATTCACCGTGCACCCTAATATGATGCAATTTTAGAAGAGATCTAGTTTTTTATATAAAAAGGAAAAAGGGAGATACATTTTTATTCCGATGAACTGGTGATGTATACACCCGACCGCAGTTTAGATATATCCGCGTTTTTTCTGTTTGTTTTTTTATTACTTATTTGGTTTCTCTTTTGGATTTTGTTTGGCTTTGCGTCACTAGAGTAATAACCTTTCTTTAATATTTTTATGCGGTTTAGGTGTGGTTCTTACTTCTAATTNCTAATATGATGCAATTTTAGAAGAGATCTAGTTTTTTATATAAAAAGGAAAAAGGGAGATACATTTTTATCCCCATGAACTGGTGATGTATACACCCGACCGCAGTTTAGATATATCCGCGTTTTTTCTGTTTGTTTTTTTATTACTTATTTGGTTTCTCTTTTGGATTTTGTTTGGCTTTGCGTCACTAGAGTAATAACCTTTCTTTAATATTTTTATGCGGTTTAGGTGTGGTTCTTACTTCTAATTCAACGAATTTTGAATTAATTATTTATATTTTTGATTAAGCCTCCGATTAACTTNGATCATACATCGAATTTTGAATTAATTATTTATATTTTTGATTAAGCCTCCGATTAACTTTGTTTTTTTTTTATTTGCATTTCGCGATCGATCCACGTTTTTTTTTGTGCTATGTGCCAGCCGACCCGTTCATTGCTACGAGCGTGAGTGAGTAATATACCGGTCAGTTGAGAACATACGTATTACTGCCTGTATATATGTAGGTACTCATGTCTATATGTATGTATGTATGAAGTTTCTCCCCACGCAGGCTCTTCTCCGGAATGTTGGTACCATCATCGAAGGNGTGCCAGCCGACCCGTTCATTGCTACGAGCGTAAGTGAGTAATATACAAGAATGATAGAATACAAGATTGCGCCAATCGAGCTGAGAGCAANTGTGCCAGCCGACCCGTTCATTGCTACGAGCGTGAGTGAGTAATATACCGGTCAGTTGAGAACATACGTATTACTGCCTGTATATATGTAGGTACTCATGTCTATATGTATGTATGTATCAGTTTCTCCCCACGCAGGCTCTTCTCCGGAATGTTGGTACCATCATCGAAGGAGCGGACAAGGTGAGTGAGTTAAATTCTTATATACTCTTACGTACATATATACCTAGATACATAGCTCTCAAAAATATCAGCGAACATAAGTAAATACGTAAATACATAATTAGGCACCGAATTATTTAAATGGTATACATACTAATAGAAGAGGAAATCAATGGTAAATATGATTTCTGGATTGAAACTATCCCAGCGTAGGTAGATCGCCTGTACTTATTAAGCAATTATACGTCTGGTTAGTTTGCTAAAGCTACGGTTTGTTTTGTAGACATTCCCTTTTGATTACCTTTGTTTGAAATCTTTCGCATTTCGGTATTAATTGATTGAGTTCTTTTGTACATACGTGAGTTATACATGCACATATGCACATAATGTGAAGTTAGTTAGGCTAGCGTAAATGGAATTATAATGATGTCTTCGAATTAGAAGGTTAATGTAAGGAAATAATAGTGTAGCGATTAGAGATTGTAAGTATTGGATTAATTTAGATTAATAAATATGAAATTTGGATGACGCTTTGTATAAGAAAATGAGGCGTTAACTTCCTAATTTCCTAAGAGGGGACGTGGGAGTGATGACAGGCGACAGGAGTGATGGACTTAGGACGACGATATGACTGACTGACGGACCTGAGTCAGGTTAGACTCCGCCTGACGGGACTGGCCTTTTTCATTTTTCTTTTTCTACTTGTTTGCTGTTTTTTTCTTTTGGTTTTCCTGGTCAATACTTCTACTGTCTTCTTAACTTACATATGTCGGCATGACTAAACCTGTTTTTTTTTTAGTGTGGCGTAGGCAAGGCGAGTGCAACAGACCCACCCCAGCCGATGAGCTATGCCAGGCACCGCAAGCATGCCGACTTGCAACTCGACCGTGCAACAGCACTACAGCCACATAACAATTGTCATCCTAATCAGAGGTAGGTTCGAAGATACCATCTCAAACCTAACACAGAATGCTCTGAACATAGTCGCCAAATGGTGTAGTAACAATGGGTTAAACGTAATTCCGAATAATACTAGCGTAGTCATTTCCTCCAGTAAATGGAAACGGGGAAAATTGGTAGAACCATTTACCGGTCTGCCATGAAGCTCCGCTAGGCGAAACTACTATATCTGGATGAAGAACGAAGCACAAATTACTGGACAAATACTGAAGAAATACACTGTAGGGTAATGAAAAACTTGTCAAACATAGGAGTTGTCAGCTCTGACCACTGTAGGTTGTGTAACGAAGTACAGGAAACATCAGAGCACATTATGTGCCACTGTGAAGCTCTTACACCAGACTTCGCTTCCTAGGATCACCGTATCTAGAAGCACACGACCTAAATGGCATTCAGCCAAAGGACCTCGCGAGGCTTCTTAGCAGTAGTTGGATCAAAGATAACCTGTAGTTGAATACAGGCTTGTTACAATAGATCGTTTCGGTCGCGGTTACTAGGTGGCCTGCTCCCTCCTATAAATCTAATCTAATCTAATGCCGCGAAAACCAAAATCCGAATAATGCTGGTTAGCTCATTTCATCGAATTTATTCATGCGCTACTTCTCCAAATAATTTCTATATTTTAACAAGTTAGCTTGTATTATTATGCAATTCAATCAACAAATACCATACCTAGTTTACTACATGTAACTGATTAGGTTCTAAATGTGGTGTCCTTTGATTTGGCTCAGATTTTACATTCAGTAATTGATTAAGGTTTCTTTTTTAATTTTTATGCTTACAAATTATGGGCGTCGCAAAAATCTATCAAATAACCAATTTGGGTCGAGAAAATTAGACAATTTCTTTTTCCATTTGGAAAAATATGGTGTCATCGGAAAGGTAATACCGTTTCAAATTATTATTTTTTTAAATTACCTTGATTTTTAGTTTTCACCATATCATATACAGTAGAAAGATTAAAAATACTTTATTTAGTAACTACGATTTTTTCATTTAAAAATTTAAATAAGCATACATATATACAAACATAGATACTTAAAATTGAATTAAGCTTTTATTTTTTTGTCGAAACATACATATGTAGTATATTTGAATTCTTGTGAAAGCATTTTCTAAATCACATTGATTGCAGCAGAATCACAAATTTACACGTTGTCAACAGCATCCACATTAAAGTCATCTCTACCGTAACTTGTCAGGATCTACCAAATACATAAAATTTTTGGCACATGCGCAAATTCAAATTTTCAACTCGCACAAAAGATAAATCATCAATTCGGTTTAGACTCTACTACAGTTACTTATCGTAATAAGATTTGTGTTATATAAATTCGTAGTGATTTTATTTTAATTTTATTCAACAAATAAGGCTGTCGTGTACATTAACGAGACAGCATTGCAAGTAAATGTTAATAAATCTATATAAAAATTGTGCCATAAGAAAATTACAAGCAAGCAACATGCATTATAGTTCACATTAGTTATACTTATGTATGTCCATAGTATTGGATAAAAAAGAAATATTCATAGCTGCTTATTTCATGGAATTCATGTTTTACTTAATTTTCCTTTTGTTTGTTTGTGCGAACATGAAATAAAGAACGTATCCATGCATCCAGATTCGAGATGAACATTGAAGTGGTTTATATAAATTTATTGGTATCCTGGAATCACTACCTCCACTCTATATGTGGGAATAGTCACGTCGGGTCATCTTTATGAATAACTTTCAGTACAGAGAAAAAACCAAAGAAAATTTGCAGTGCTTTCTGCCAGACACACAAAATCGATAAGCTCAACCACATCAATTCACGCAGTGTAATTGTATTTTGACATTTTCACCACCGCCACCGCCACCACCATCTTCACCATCAGCAGCGACTGTCGTAATCACCCTCAAAAGACTAATTCGCCAATATATTGCTTTCGTCACAATGTCATTCATTAATAAATTGAAATCAACTCCATTGCCGCCAATTAAAAATATCATAAATGTTGCCGTGCAAACAGCTCGTCAGCACATACCAGAGAAGAAGGACTACGAACAGCCCGGCAGCAATACAACAGGAACAGCAGCACAGCATCCACAAGGAATGTTCAATGCAGGGGCTGGCGAGGCTCAATACCAAGGTAAGCGGAAATAGCATATTTGTATATTCACACACATGTAGACATTGTACGAGTATATATGGATATGTAGAGGTTAGAATGGCACATGCTCTTTATAACTGAATTTTAGAAACAAGTGTCGCAAAACTTTTAATTGGTAAAAAGTTTAGTTTTCTGGGTAACTTTACAAATAAATACACTCTAAAAAATTTGTGTTTAAATTTGCGCATATTAAGATAGGTAACCAGTTTCCTCTCTTAATGAATGCAAATTTACACACTGCGTGCTTACTTTTACTTATCATATGTGTGGCGTAGAACAAATTTCAAATTTGTTTTTTGAGTTTTAAACATTTATTGTTCACATTTTCATAGTTTACACATAAAATGTTTAAAATTTCCTCTAAAAAAATTTCGTTTCGTCTCCTAGTGTGTGCAAAATTAAACATTGTCTGTTTACTTTTACATATCAAATTTATCACGTAGCGCACACAAGGGGTGGGTTTTGGGGTTAAATTTATTATGATTTAAGAAATTTTGATAGAAAAAAATTTCTTTTCCATTTTTTGTAAGAATTTTTCTTTTTTCTTGAGAGCTCTTTAAAGTTTAATTGCGAATGAAAACATTGGCCTAAAAATATGCAATGCATGCTCACTTACTGTTGCTTTCTACACTTTACAGCCTAAAAAAGTTTACCACTGATATGTACTTAAGAAGCATTAGAAGATTTAATTTGCTAACTTGGAATTCGTTCCACCAAAATGAGCTACATGATAAAAATACAAGTTCAGCTAAATTTTCGTTATTCGAAGTATTAAAAAATGAGAAACAAGAAATCGGCGAAAATGAATAAAAAAGTGTAAAACTTTCGTGAAATTATTTAATTTATTTATATTAAAATTCTTTTGTAAAATGTTGTATTACTTTTGAAAGTTGAGTGCATCTTTAACCGTTAATTTTTTCATGATTTTCTGATCGGATCTAAACCAAATTACGGGACGACGGTACTATCTTTCCGGTAAAAAAAATCGGTTCACGCAGTGCAAAGTTATGCGGTGAAATAAATAAAAGAAGTAAAAATACTCCGAAGAACTGACAACCTCCCCTTTTTTGAAGCCGGTTGAAAATGTCTGAGTTCTTTGTAAATTTTATGTAAATAAAATGCAATTTATGAAACTTCAAAAAGTGAATTTTTTTAGTTCATTCTGTACATAAAACTTTCATAACTATATTTTAAACAGCGAATTTTCAGTATTTTCTGATGATATATATTTAGAAGTATAAACTCTTTCCCCCAAAAAATGCTGGAATGAGTTCTTGAAAATTGGACCTTCCGAATGGACCAACTACAGCATAGTCGTGGCTAACATTTGTATGAAATTATTTTAAACAAGTAAGAAAGTCTAAGTTCGGGCGGAGCCGAACATTAAATACCGGCGCAATTATTAAATATATGTTTTTCACCTTTCCGAAAGCTACCGCTACATGGTAAGCCGGGGTGTATCAATTTTGAGTAAATTTGCGTCCTTAAATTTCCAAATATTGAAGTTTCAAGCGTTTCTGAAATTTACCGTTATATGAAAAGCGGCCGTAATTTTAGTTCGATTTCAATAATTTTCAACGTTTCGCTTTTATGTGGCAAGCACAATAACCATACCGAGTTTGGTACAAATTGGTAGAACGGTTACCGAGATACATATATGTGATTATAAGTGGGCGGTGCTACGCCCATTTTCCACAATTTTATCTTAAACGTATTTTCTGGTAAAGAATTGTTGTAAGCATCAATTTTGAATAAATTAGCTTTAATATTTACTTGGGGTATTCTCTGAGTCTTGCAAAGCCCTTGCATGGTGCACAGATTGCACGGATTGCACGGTAAAAACCGGTTTTCGTATGGGACAGCTTTGCAAACCGTGCAATCCGTGCACCGTGCAAGGGCTTTGCAAGACTCAGAGAATACACCTACTGATTTATCGAAGATTTTGTATTTCTCTAAATTACCGTTATATGGGATGTGGGCGTGGTTATTGTCCGATTTTAAAAATTTTCAGCCATTTGGTATGCTGTACTAAATCCAACAACTGTGCCAAGTTTAGAAGAAATTGGTGCAGCGGTTACCAAGATATACACATGTAACCATAATTTATAATATTCTTATTTTTCGTCAAAAATTTATTATAAATATCAATTTTGAGTGAATAATCTTCAGTAGTTACTAAAATAAAATATCGCAGTTTTCATATTTCTGAAAATTACCGTTATATGGGAAGTGGGCGTGGTTACAGTCCGATTTCGCTCACGGACGGACAGACAGACATGGCTTAATCGACTTCTCTATTCATACTGAGCATTTATGTATACATTAGTCTATATCTATCTCGATTCGTTTTGGCTGTTACAAACAACCGTTATGTGAACAAAGTTAATATACCCTTGTGCACAAGTGCGCTCGGGTATAAAAAGTAAATGTTGGAGAACGTTCTTTCGGGTAATAATAAAGATTCTGACGTCCAGTTTTATTTTAAGTGTTTTACTTAAAATTAAAAGAGGTAATATATGGAGGTCGCTGTGGTGTAGTGGTTAGCAGTGTGCGCTACCATTCCGCAGAGCCTGAGTTCTAGCCCAGTTCAACCCATAATTTAAAAAACAAGTTTTTTCTATTAGCGGTCGCCCCTCGGCAGGCAATGGCAAACCTACGAGTGTATTTCCACCATGAAAAACAGCTTCTCATAAAAATAAAATCGCCGTTTCGACTGTGTGACAACATCGAGGGGCACGCCACAAAGTTAAATTATCGTCAAAACTTTGTACTATTCACAAAAATTAAAAAAAAAGTTAAACTAATGTGCAAATATTTATCAATAGAACCACGGCCGTCGAGAGAAAACTCGGGCCCGCGACTAAAAAATCACGGGCCCCTATATATAAAGTGTATAAAATTAAAAGCATATGGCCCAAATCGACGAAAACGAAACCGAGGGGAACAATTTTTTTTTCAAGTTTCGCAGATTTTTGGATTCACCGTCGCTGGAATAAAGAAACAGTGTAAATGCCACATACACTATTATTCAATAATCGTATCATTGGATAGACAATCTTTTAATCTATTAGAAAAATCTTTAGTTTTCTTACATATCTTTTTGGATCACGAACTTATTTGCGAAAAACGAAATTTTATAATAAGAGTGTAGGTATTACAATTGTTTACAAATAGTGTATGGTGCACCAGTATAAAGAAAATCCCAATAAAATTCTTGTAATATTAAAATAACGTTAGACTATTTTTCTTCACTATATTGCTGCGAACTTTCATATTCAGCTTCAAAATGTGAATACATAATAAAATAGTGTAATACCGAAATACATTATTATTATTATGGGCCATATGCACCGCGACCTCTAAAGTGGTCTATTGTCCGTGGGCCCCCGCCCTATAAGGGAAGGATCGACATACATACATCAATTACTTTTTCTGAGTAAAAGAGTGTACAATGATTTCATATCAAAATGTTCAAAGATAAAATAAACATGGTCCGGAATTTTTTTTGTGAATTAACAGCTAAGGAATCAATAAAAAGTGTGCTGTATTTAAAAGATGAACATTTTGAATAAGAAGCGCAAAATTAAAGTTTCGATTTGGTTGATTGGAATATAAAAACTTCTAATTCGTTTTTCTCAAAACTATACTTTTCATGTTACACTATTTCATTATTCCAGCGACGACAAATACTGAGGTATCAGACAATATAAATATTAACACGAATCTCCTTCTCTCAAACATAAACACTCACTTAATCCTGAAACACGTTTAAATTAATGAAAATTAAAAAAGCACAACATGAAATTAAGGGTTGTTTATGAGTCAGAATTTCTGAAACGGGCCACTTCAATTATGTGATACAATTAATGTTTAACTTAGATTTTACAAAAAAAAACGTTTTTTCTTATATATCAACAAGTGTTTTTTTTTGTACTTTTTACTTCAAAATTCAATTACAGACGATCTTATTGGCCAATTATGACAATTAAACCGCCATTTTCATTTTTATTAACGTCTGCAAACAGCGTGCCCTCACCGGTTTATTTGCTTTCATGTGACAGAGTCAAAAATATTTTTGTATGTTACCGCATAACTTTCACCACTTTAACCAATTTCTATGATTCTTTTTTTGAAGGAAAGGTGTTACCTCATGGGTGTTCCCATACTAATTTGGCTTAAATCCGATCATTTGAGCATGAATAAATCAACGATTATCTTAAATTTTNGTGACAGAGTCAAAAATATTTTTGTATGTTACCGCATAACTTTCACCACTTTAACCAATTTCTATAATTCTTTTTTTGAAGGAAAGGTGTTACCTCATGGGTGTTCCCATACTAATTTGGTTTAAATCCGATCATTTGAGCATGAATAAATCAACGATTATCTTAAATTTTTATATGAGAATTGAAGTCGGTTTTGTTTTTGCTTAAAAATTACTTTTTTATTTAAATCTACCTCTGTTTATTTTTGACTCTGTCACATGAAAGCAAATAAACCGGTGAGGGCACGGTGGTTGCAGACGCACTTGACCAAAATAAGTCGAGCGCGCTCGTTGCATTGCGCGACAACCTTCAAGTAAAAATAACGGTTTTCCAGGTTGCGATCCATTATGTTCTTAACGAAATATTTTAGAGTAAAATGTTGCATATGCGTTTTTTTTCTGTATGTAATACTTTTATATTGGCAGTAAGCTAACTTCTCAATGTGTAAGCATTCCGAAATCAAAGCGAGACAGTCTAGTACCGTTTTTGTCAATGTATTGAGTACTTGAGTGCCGTTTTTGTATATGTGTTGTGTACATGTTTATTTATAAACGTATGTGTTCCTTTTCTTTCGTACGTGTTTATTGATATATCTGTTCTGTAGTGTTTTCGGACGGTACNGTGAAGAAGTGGTGGAGGAGACTATTAATTTTATCTTTTTACCATATATGTAATACTTTTATATTGGCAGTAAGCTAACTTCTCAATGTGTAA